ACTCGTAATTGCAACTTCAGTTTTTTTGCGTAGTCCATGGGGCCGTCCAAGTAACTCTTCATCCCTATCCCTTCTTTCAACTTCCCGTATATCTCCAAGTGGTCTTCGCTTCGTACCTTCTTCCGAAGGGTTGCCTCCTCCCTACTTTCTAGCATCTCCTTGACTTTCTTCTTGAACCCCCCGAACCCTTCCGTGTCCAATGTCTCCTCCTCGTCTCCTATCTCCTTCCAAACCCTCTCTACCACCTTGTCCCATCTGATTCCTTTCTTCCCTGGAGTCGCTTTTCCCCAAGCTGCCTTGTCAACCATGGCTGGTAGTCTATCGTCCGACATTCTACTTACCTTGTACTGCCAATGCAACCTTTGCATGTCTCTTTTTGTTTTAGAGAGTACATTCCCAGTTCTGCTCGCAATACAGTGTTGCTCGTTGTACTTGAACATCCTAGTATTTTCTTGGCCGCTGCCATCTGCACCGTTTCCAGCTGCTTGACGGCCTTTTCGTTACCTTCCCATACCTCTCCTGCATCCTCTAGCTTAGGTACAATCACATTCAAGAAAACACACCTCTTAATCCTAGTGTCTAGGTATGGGTCCGTAAGGATCTCGTCCATCTTGCCTATCTGAGCTTTACCCTTCCCAATCAACTTTGCTATGTGTGCGTCCCATGAGCACTCCTTCGAAATCTCTACTCCCAGGTACGTATACCTGTCTACTACCGGTAGTTCTTCCTCCCCCCATTTCCATTTGAATTCTACGGGATTTTTCTTGTCTTCGTTACAGACCACTACTGCGCATTTTCCTACGTTCGCCGACAGTCTCCATTTTCGGGTGTATCCTACTGCCGCATCTATTTGTTCCTGCAACCCTTCTGGTGTTTCGGATACCCCCACGAAATCATCTGCAAACATCAGTCCGGACACACTCTTTCCCCCTACTTGGACTCCCTGTCTTACTGCTTCAACCGCCCTTATCAAGTCGTTGATGTAAATCTTGAAAATAGTGGGTGACATCGTACAGCCCTGTGCGACTCCTTGGAGTATATCCACGTACTTCGAGATT